TTTTTCTTCACATTTTATAATTATTTCAATTTAATCCCTCTATGTTGTTTAATTATTTAATTTTAATTTGTAATTTCATATTTATTTAATTTAGTCTTTAAAATTATATTTGTATCTGAAATTGACCAATTCTTATTTATATTTTTGTAATTTACTTCATACTCTATAAATCGCATAATAAGCTTCATTTTATATTTTATAAATTATATTATAAGCTCCAAACCCTATAAATTTTTGTTCACCAACTTTATAAATGGATATAATTTAGTCCAATTTTATAATAATTTCAACTTGAAATTTTAAAATTATTTCGATTTGATCCCTCATCAATGTGTGTTGTTTAATTTATTTAAATTTTTGTTTATAATTTCACGTTAGTTCAATTTAGTCCTTCAAATTATATTTTTACCAAAATTGATCCATAATTATGTATATTTTTTTTGTAATTTACTCTAACAACAACAACAACAAAACCCTATTCCATATGTAATGGGGTAAAAGGGAGGTAGAATAGTAAGCTACCCCCAACGCCAGGTTGAGAGCAGCTTCCGTGGAAGACCTCCGGCAGTCAGACAATTAAAAATAAAGATAAAATGCAATGCATGTATAAATAAATTTATAAATACATCGTTGAACAATCTTCATATGCAATCTTCATATGCGCGTATGTAATGGGAAGTAATCCCTGCAAATAAATCCCTACGTAAAAATCTCTGCATATAGACAGAAACGTAAGACCCGACTAAAATTAAAAAGAGGAAACATGAAGATAATGATACATAAAAGTGAACGATAGCAAGCTACGAGAAGGTATAAAGTCAAATGGGTTAAAACCTAAACTAAGGCAACACTACTTCGCTACCCTAGTTCTAAGCCTTCATAAATTCTAATGACAGAAACGTATAAAAAATAGAAGTCATGAAAATTACTACAAATGCATTAAAAAGAAGACAGAGATGTTACACCCTGTGGTTGTGACCCGCACTACTCGGCTACCATGGTCTTAAGTCTCCATATTTTCCTATCAGTGGTCATGTCCTCGGTAAGGGCTAAATCCTTACAATTAGATCTCAAGCAGTCTTCCCACTTCCGCCTTGGTCGTCTTCTCCTTCTGGCACCGTCGATTGTAATCGACTCTACCTTCCTGACCGCATCCGACAGTTTTCGCCTAAGGACATGCCCAAACCACCGTAGTCTTCCCTCCCTCAATTTTTCGGATACAGGCACCACCCCAAGAACATCCTAATAGTAGAGTTTGGTGTCATGTCCCACATAGTTCTACCACATGCCCATCGAAGCATTCTCATTTCTGCGGCCTCCATCCTCCTTACGTGATCCTTCTTGATTACCCAACATTCTGATCCATACAGCATCGCTGGTCTTATTACCATTCTATAAAATTTTCCCTTAAGTTTTAGAGGCACATTCTTGTCACACAAAACTCTAGTAGCAACCCTCCACTTTAGCCATCCCGCCTTTAAACGGTGTGTAACGTCATCATCTATACCTCCATCTTTATATATCATAGACCCTAGGTACTTGAAACAATCATTTGAGGGGAGAACGTGTCCTTCGATGCATACTTCTACAACTTCATCGTTTTGGTTCCCACTGAAGTTTGAACATAAATACTCTATCTTTTCAATATTGATCCGTAGACCTTTTTCTTCCAAAGCAGTCTTCCAGGTTGCCAGTTTACTATTCAACTCAGTTTTTGTTTAAGCAACTAGGACAATGTCGTCAACGAAAAGCATACACCATGGAACACCGTCTGGTGTCGCACAATAGATGTCGTCCATAATCAAGGTGAAGATGTAAGGGCTAAGAGCCGACCCTTGGTGGAGTCCGATTTCCACTAGGAATGCCTCGGTGTCGCCAACTTTAGTCCTGACGTATGTAGTAGATCTACAGTACATATCGCGAATCGCCCGGATATAAGCAGTTGGGATCTGTCTCGTTTCCAAGGTCTTCCATATTGTTTCGCAGGGAACACTATCATATGCCTTCTCAAGGTCAATGAACGCCATGTGAAGATCTCTATTTTTTCCCTATATTTCTCCATAAGCTGTCGAAGTAGATGAATCACCTCCGTAGTAGACCTGCTTGGCATAAAGCCAAATTGGTTTTCCGAAACCCTAGTAACCTGTCTCAACCTAGCCTCTATCACCCTTTCCCACAGCTTCATGGTATGACTGAGTAGTTTAATACCTCTGTAGTTGCCACAACGTTGGGGATCTCCTTTATTCTTATAGATTGGAATCACCGTAGACTCTCTCCACTCCTCTGGCATCTTGGTAGTCTCTAAAATAGTATTAAAGATGTTGGTCAACCACTTAACTCCCTCATCTCCTAGTGCCAACCACACAGTGATAGGAATTTGATCTGTACCGACAGATTTATCCCTCCCCGTCTTTCTAAGAGCCATTTTGACTTCCTTAAACCCAATTCTACTTGTAGGGTAGTCATTGGCCGTAGTATGATGGTCGGCTGACCCATCAACGATACTATCTCTACAGGGAGAGGCACCGTCATTAAATAAGCCAAAGAAGTAACTACCCAAATCCCTCTTAATATCATGATCTTTCACTAAAATAACACCATTGTTGTCCTTAATAAACCTAATGCTTCCTAAATCTTTTTTCCTATTTTCCCTGGATTTTGCAAGCCTGAAGATGTCATTTTGTCCTTCCTTGGTTTCTAAACTCTTGTTCATTTCCTCGTATGCATTATCATTTGCTTTAGCCACTGTTTTCTTGGCTTCCCGCTTTACCTCCTTGTATCTTTGTTTAGCTCTCGATCTTTCTTCGTCGTCATTGCATTGTAGAAACTCCTTGAAGCAAGTTTGTAATTTACTCTAAGTCATATACAATTACAAATTGCAATTCAACGTTCATGAAAGGCAAAAATAATTATTCCAAAAATAAATGACCCGGGCTTAAGTCAATCCGTATCTAGTAAGATCCAACCTGAATTTTGTTTGTCAATGGTGTGATCAGATCTGAACGAGATCTTACTCAAATTCATCCGAACCTGAATTAACCTGGTATTTAACTCCTTCGGACATGGACCTTTTTTACCTGAACTGACATCAATCTGAATTGAAATTAACTCGACTTGAACCCAAACTGAACCTGATGTCAAATCAAACTAAAAATAACCCAAACTGATTTGACCTGGGTCCGACCTGATCCGATTCAAACCATCAAATTAAACTGACACGACTTGTATCCGATTTTACCTGACCTGGCAGGATCCGAATGAAACCTGAACAATTACCTGATTTTACATCCATATGTAGGGATCAACTGTAAAAATGACATTCGAAACCAAACCCACGATTGTAACAATATCAAACAACCTTCAATTATTTGTTTGTCTGGATCAACATCATTACATAGTTCTCGGAACAAAAAAGTCAATAATGTTGATCCCCAGCTCGTATATTTAGAACCCTGCAAAACGCATAGATTATACAATCACATCAGACACACTTTGTTTTGAGATTTACCAAACATCAAGATCCCCCAATAACTTGTAAAATATGAGCACAAGCAAATTGCTACAAAATAAAAATGGTGCGAATAAATTAAAAATTTATCGACAAAAAATTACAATAAATAAAATAAAATTTTAATATTATAAATAAAAAATTAAAATAAATAAACATAGATTTCAAAAATTACCTCCATAATTTCTAGATCAACATTGGCAGGTAGCTCTGAAAAATTATCGTCTAAAAATTTAATCTTGATCTTCCCTCCATCCATATTGTCATCTATCGGAGTAAATTCAAGCAGTTGCTCACACAAGCCGATCCAGTACCCATGGGCCATACCAGTAATTGTCGTTCTATTAACAAACAGCCCAAGATAGAATGCAACATCTTCAAGGTAATAGTCGCCTCCCCATAATGAAAATGAAACGTGTGCGTCTCTAGTCTCCACCGTTCCAGCAATGCGTTTATTAATGGAGGATGCAATTTCGTATCACCAATTATAGTGCTCACGTAACCAAAACCGGCTTCGTGAAAATATAGAAGAATATCGACATGAGGCCTCGGGAAACGATTGATATAACACGTCAACGAACGTTCATACCCCTTTAAATAAATAAATAAATAAATAATTTAAAATAAATAAACAAATCACTAATTTATTCGAACTAAATAAATAAATAAATTATTCGAAATAAATAAATAACAATTACCTCCATATTTGTCCCCCAATAATCGAATACATGCTTTCGATCAAGTCTTAGTAATCCCGTCATAATAATCCTAATTGAATAGATAAGAGAGAAAATATGAGAGAGATTTTTTGGAAGAGAAATGTGAGGAATTTGGTTTTGGGGAATCCTATTTATAGTTGTCCTCGCACTCCCCACGAAGAGAGGTAAATGATATCTCACGTTGTGTAGAGTGTGAGGTTCAGGAATCTATTCAAATTTCAAATCTTTTGTGAACGTGAATCTTTGAACCCTCACGTTATGTGTAACACAAGATCATTAAAATAAAAATTAAATTACACTTTCTGAAAAGTATGTCCACGTTGGAGTACCTCGTGCCCAAAGTGAGGTTATTCCTTGAGTTTCTTAGGACGCGAATTAATCCTATGTGTGCAGTTTAAGAGGTAATTTTTTTAACAAATCAGGTATGGGTGCTTTTCCAAAAAAAATAAATAATTTTTGGGTTATTAATTTAATAACGCCTATTATGGACGATGTTAATATTAGATATCTTAAAGGTTTCCCGAAGAAATGGAGAATATATTTTTGGTTGATACTAAATTTATTTTTCTTTTGTTTCTTTATCCATAAAATGTATGGCGTGATTTGTTTAAGGAATAATTAGTTTAAGAGAAAAATAAAAATTTGTGATGATGCTATTGTTGTCAAATTACATAATGATTTCATTGGAACAATTATTATTATTTTCTTCTTCTATGATTTAAAGGGATAATTACACACTTGTACTTGCGTATAGATTAGATTATATACACAGATTCAGACCTTTCATTTTTTTTTTTGAATTGAAAAGAGCCTAAAACAGTAGGACAATAAACTAAAATCAGCTGCCAGAATCATGAGTGGCAACATTTGCTTCCAGAATGACGATATCAGCGACTTCCATTGGAGGGAGGGCATATTGTATTAAATCAAAATGTTCCACCGGAGAGTGCAGTTTTCCTTCAAATTCCAATGCATCCAAAGCTCAAAGTCGGATCCGATAATAAGATCGTTCCCAAACCGGCAGCGGCCATTAACCGATAAAAGAACACTAGATGATTCTTGCAAGGATTCTTAACTAGACACTGTAAATCTTTTCATAACAAAATCTTTTATGGCAAGAGTTGATATCAAGAATAGGGTAATTCGGCTACTCGAATACACATGCACCGGTGAGAAACGACTGTATAAATAAACTATGAAGAACTATTCTAATTGTACAATTTACAGAGAAAAAAGAAACGAGATTACAGATCCCTTCTGCACAATGGACAAGAACCATGACTAGTGAGCCACTTATCTATGCAAGGCAAGTGGAACATGTGATGACACTGCGGCAAGCTCCTAACTGTTTCTCCGAGCTGAAAGTCCTGTAAAAAGATTCGATCCGATAAGAAGCTTATGCAACTAGTTTTACTGAAAAAAGATTCACTAGTGTTGTACCTGCAGGCAAACAGAACAGGAAACTTTGTCCCCGGAAGCATCCACGTTGTTCTTGTTTGTGATTTTGATCTTTGGGATTTTTTCGACCAAATCTCCGGCCAATCCTTTGGAACCACCAACGTCAAATATGTTCTGGACATCCTCAAAAGTTGTTTCAGCAGCTCCCATCTGGTAGGACAAACTGAAAATCATTAGTAAATTGCTATTTGATGAGAGTAATATCGATTTGCGAAGAGATTCTTACCTGACTTTGGACCGCACTCAGCATCGCGGGACCAATTCGTTCTCGAACAAGTCTCCCACTTAGAAGGCTTGCAATGACATCAATCTGAAAATTTCCAGTGAAACAAAAATGATTTAAACTCTGCTTAGAAGAATTACTACCATCAAAGTGTCGAAAACTCATGCACATGCTTCCTGGAACTCATCGGTGAGGCTACCTGAATCCAAGGTCCAGGCATGCCACAGGCATCATAGAAAGCTAATGGTGGCTACTCAAACTAGGTTCAAGGCATGCCACAGGCATCTAAGATGCTATCGAACCAAGATACTTGCCGAGACGCCATCGAGTACTCAACGAGCCGAATGGATTTTCTCTTTTCATATCCCTTCTTAGAAAGTAATAACTAAACATATAAAACCAGGGCAATAAACAAAATTGCTCACCAAGTAAAGCAAACATCCGATCCTGGATTCATCAGATTGCCAAAGAACCAGGGAAGACTCGAAGACTTCGATCGAGAAAACCGCACCGGAGATGGCCCCAACGGCAGCGCCTCGAACAAAACCGCTCTCCGTTTCTTGTCCTATCAAAGCCCCCGTCATGGCCCCTAACAAGGTTCCCACTGTAGATGAATTTCATTAGCAAAATTTTTAGTATAAAAAGGCTAAAGTTCAGCTCGGGCAATAAAACGTTAATGTTAAATAATCCTAAGAAACCAAACAAAAAAGTGAGGGTCTATTTCGGACATACATGTTAGACAAATTAATCCCAAAGTGCTTTGTCGGCACGCAAAAACATTATTCATATAATTGCAATCCAACAAAAATGGAACAGAATCATAATAAAATCCATCTTTTGTCCATATAATAACGAGGGAATGATATTGATTACTATAAAAGAAAAATAGTAATGAAGAAGCAGTTCTAAATTAAATCATCAACGAAAATTCAAAAAAAGAGGGGAAAAAAGCTTTTGAAGAAACAATGAAGCATAGCTGAGAACAAAGGAGAAAAAGGACCCAACCTAATGCAAAGAAGAAGGTTAAGATAGCAGAGAAAATATTCCCAATGATGGCAGAAACAGCGAAATTGCAAGAAAATTTGATCTTTTCAATGAAATCTCCAAACAAAGACAACGAAGACATGGGCAAACGAGATGGGTATGCGTTAAAATCCATTATTTTCTTTCCTTTCTATTGTTGGAATCCAGTGAGAAATGAAATGGAAACGGTTTTCCAGGTGATCAACGAATAACAGGGGGGGTTTGAGAAGAAGCTTATATATAATGAAAAAATAAATAAAAATAATTAGAGGGAAATAACAAAAAAAGAAAAAAGGAGAGGTAGGGTGGGTATGCTTAGTGCTTAAGAGAGGAGAATCAACCAACTAGCATTTAAAGCTCCAATATTTTTCTGATGCAGCCCCTGTTTTCTCTCTCTACCTGCTTTAGTTGAAACACGAAAATTTCTGTCTTTCTAGACTAAAGCAAATATATATTTCTTCATTCTCTCTCCATATGTGTATTTAGGGTAAACTACTTAATCATTAGCCTATTACTTTTTTATATTTTGGTCACCAAGCTATTCTTTTTAACCAAGCTATTCATTCTCTCCCTACGTGGTTGCTAAAAATTTAGGATGATGTTAATATGGATTTTTTTTATATTTATGTCATTTTCTCTTTCTTTATGATCATCTCATATCTTATTTTTAATAATTAGAATTAAGAATTTATATTTCACCTTTAAAATCTTATTTTCTCTTATTTTTGTGTGTTAAATTTAAATATAAATTTTGGTAGAATATAAATAAAAACGTAATTATCTTTATAATCATTGGGGTGTTGACCATTATTTTTTATTGTAAGTAGTTATTTTTTATCCTATTGATGAGATATTTTATAGTAGAACTCTACATCTTGAGTAATTCCAAAAAAAAAAAAAAATGTAGTACCTCAAGAAGTTTTGGTTCGAGTCTTCTATCTCAAATTCTTCAATTCATTTTTTTAATAATATGATAATATGATCCGAATAAAATTATTAAAAATTGATATATAGACTAATAATGAGAAGAGAATAAATGATTTGAAAATATGGAACAACATAATATATATTTGTGCTAATATCGTAGTTAATTTCTAATTTGATAATTAAAATAGAATAAAAATATAATATTACTGATGATTTTATCAAAAAAAAAATTAATGACATTATCGGTCGGTTCATGCAACCAAACCTTTTTTTTAATCATCATTAATTTGGATAATAACAAATCATTATATATTTGTATAATCAATATAATTATAATTATAATTATTATACTTCTTTTAAGTTATAATTCTTTAGAATTATTCGTCTATTGTTTTTAAATTACTAACGATATAGTATTCTATTTAGTCTATTAAATAATAATCAATATATTTATATAATTATAATTAATTATTTAAGTGGTCATTTCTTGGTGGTGTCTATTACGGTGATGAGATACCTTCTCGCATGCTGCTATTTTCCGAAGTCCCAACTAACCCACCACCCCATCTTTTCAAATATGTATTTTACTCGTCTGCTCTGATTTTTCCGAAATGTTAACGTTATTTTCCTTTGAAATTAGCACATCATTTTTCCTTAAAGAAAGCCTTCCTCATTTTTCAATTCATTTTTTATTAGGGAAGTTTCCATGAAATAATTGGGAAAGGAAGACTGATGCTTCCTTTCATAGCCATGTTTATCAATATGCAAAAGCACCTACTACCGAAACAAAACTAAAAATTTGAATTTCTAAATTATTCTCGAGCAAATTGTTAGAGCTTAAATCATAATAAACTTGAAATCAAATCAGAATATAATCATTTCAAACCATCAAAGATAAAATAAATACTAGATTTGTAAAAGCGTACCTGAATCTATTGTTGAAGATTACCTAGAAGATTGAGATCTGAAAAATTGCCTTATAGTTGTGATCTTCTAAGAAGATAGAATCAGTTATTGTATGTACTTATAACTCTGCCCTCCATCAACTATATCCATATAGGATCAAAGTGGCCTCTGCAATATTAATCATGACTAGACCCATCAATGGTCACATATACAAACATAATCAAATTGCATAGATTGATCATGGAGCGTAGCATGGAAATTACATGCAGTGTGAACCACACGTGTCTATTTCCAGCTAGTCCTCTTTAAACATAAGTGAGGTCAGCCTTTAAATAATAAAAGAGAATGAATAATCCAAATACTTTATTTCTAATTAGAAAATAACCAAATGTATAAATGTATGAAAAACAAATATAAGCAAACAAAACACCCATATGAGCATTGTGCTCATGAAAGACCTTAGGTGCTAAACCTTTTGCAAGCAGATCCGCTATCATGAAGTTTGTTCCAACGTGTTCAGTGGATATTTGTCCATTTAGCACTCTCTCTATCACAACTAGGAAATTTATGTCAATATGATTTGACTTAGATGAGCTCCTATTGTTGTTGGAATATAAAACTATTGATTTATTGTCACAAAATAGTTTAAGTGGTCTTTCAACGTTCTCCAAAGTATACATTTCAATGGAAAAGTTTCGCAGTCATATTCCATGGTTTGATGCCTCTTAACATGCTACAAACTCTGCTTGGTACTTTTCTAGGATATCTCCTCCAGCTAGCATGTAAATATTGCCTTCTGCTATCTTAGCATCCAACGAAATCAGAATCATGATACTCGATGACCTCCAAATGATATGATCTCCTATAAGTGAGCATGTAATCTTTTGTTCTTCGAAGATACTTCATAACCTTCTGGGTCGCTATCCAATGGTTCATATCAGGGTTGCTTGAGTATTTGCCTAATATCACAACAATGTATGTAAAATTCAGACGTGTACCTACTTGAGCATACATCAGACTCACAATAGTTGATGTGTATGGAATCTTTTGCATTTCTTGAATTTCAAGGTTAGTTTTAGTGCATTGAACAAGACTAAATTTGTCTTCTTTAGCAACAAGGGTGCCAGCTGGTTTACAACTATGCATGCCAAACCTTTTGAGTACTTTATCGATGTAATTTTTTGTGACAATCCAAGAATACCCTGAGACCAATCTCGATGTGTCTGGATTTTTAAGATAAAAGAAGCATCACCAAAATCTTTAATTTCAAAATGTTTAGACAAAAATCTCTTGGTTTCATTTAACAAACATGCATCATTTGTGGCAAGCAAAATGTCATCGACATATAGAACTAGAAATATATGTTTACTCTCATTGAACTTGTGATATACACAATGATCAACTGTATTCATCTTAAAACCAAAAGTGATGACTATTTGATGAAACTTGTGATACCATTGACGATAACCTTGCTTGAGTCCATATATGGATTTAGTTAATTTGTAAATTGTATTATTTGGATCTCCCGACTCAAAGATTTCCAGTTGTACCATATAAATTGCTTATTTAATGTTGCCATTTAGAAACACAATCTTAACATCCATTTGGTATAATTCAAGATCAAAATGAGCAACAATCGTCATAATTGAACTAAAAGAGTCTTTCGATGAAACTGGAGAGCAAGTCTCTGTAAAGTCGATGTCTTTCTTTTGAGTATATCCTTTAACTACAAGACGTGCCTTATACCTTTCCACATTACTATTTTCATCCCTCTTGATTTTAAATATCCATTTGCAACCAATTTGTTTTGCACATTCAGGTAATGGGATAGGTTCCCAAACTTTATGGTCTTGCATGTACTTATACTCTTCTCATATGTCATCAATCTACTTTTTAGAGTTAGCACTTTTCATGGCCTAATGAAAGTTGATTGGATCATTTTCCATCATTTCATTATCATCATCATTTTCTTGAAGAAAAACAATGTAATCATCTATAATAACATTTCTTTTTTGTCACATGGATCTCCTTAATGGAACTTGTTCTTGAGGTAGTTGAGGTTGTTCTTTTTGGAACAATGACCTCATCTTGAATAGAGAGTTGTTCAACATTATCTTGTTGAAGTTCTGAATTCACTTCTTGATTAATCAGTATAGAACCTTAACATCATTAAAAGTGATAATAAAAACTCAATAAAAATTTAATTCCTCCACAAAAGCAATGTTTAACCTTATTTCTCCCTTCAAACTCAACATCCTAAAAAATGTTGCATTTCCCGTCTTAGAAGTTTTCTTCATGTGACCTATAAGGCATGCCTCAGTTGGAAATCCCCAATTATGAAAGTGCTTTAAACTAGACTTTTGACCAATCCAAAACTCATAAGGTGTTTTTACAACTGCTTTAGAGGGTACTCTATTCAAAATGTACATTGTTGTCTTTAATGCTTCTCTTAGATAGACTCAAGTAAGGTAGAATGAGAAATCATACTCATTACCATATCCTTAATAATCATATTACATCTCTCAACTACACCATTCATACTAGGTGATCCTGGCATGGTGTATAGTGAGACAATACCATATTCCTCTAGGAATTTGACAAATGGTCCTAGATGATGTTCACCTGAGCCATCATATCTACCGTAATACTCATCACCATAATCAGATCTAACTTTTTAATTCTTTGTTGTGTTGATTCTCAACTTTAGCTTTATAAGTTTTGAACATGTCCAAAGACTGGGATTCCTCATGAATAAGATATAAGTACCCATAATGTAAGTAGTCGACTATGAATAGTATGAAGTATGTTTGACCATTCCATGATGTCATAGGAAATGACCCACATATATCTGTATGAATTAATGCTAAGACGTATGTAGGTTTGTTGGCACCTAATCTCTTTTTTTGGTCTGTTTTCTCTTGATGCATTCAACACATACATTAAAGTCTATAAAATCAAGGGACCTCAAAATACCATAGACACTAAGTTCTCAACTTTATCTTTTGAGATGTGATCTAGGCGCTTATGTCATAATGATGCCAAATATTTCATATTTAATTTTTGATTAGTTCCATCTGATTCCACGTATGAGGTTTCATTATAGATGCAATTGTATCTAGTAAATAAAGGTTGTCATACGCATTCAAATAACCATTTCCAACAACATTTGAATTTAAAAACAAAGTAAACATATGGTTTCCAAATGAAGAATAATATCCAGATTCTTTCATCTCTATCGATTTTTCATTTCCCACAAAAATGTGTCTTTCACCATTATTTGACTTTCGATAGTTTAGGCAACTCTGCATAGAAACACATATGTGAGTAGTAGCACTAGAATCTATCAACCAAGTGTTTCTAGGTA